GAAAGCTGCCAGCTCGCTGGTAATGGGACGCCGCTGGCTGGGCCGGCTCTGTGGCTGAAAAGGTCCCAGGGTAACGCGTGACCTTTACCCCAGGACCCAGCGCGAGATCAGCGAGAGTGCGTGAGAAAAGTTTGCGTTCACTGAATGAACTTTGACCATTTTCGGTGTATTGACGGAGCACAGCGAAAGCTCAGCCATCAACCCATGCGCCTTTCCATGGCACAAAAATTCGTAGTTCTTGTGGCAATCGCTCAAGCTGCATTACGTTACCTAGCGATCGCTTTCGATGCAACAAATCCGTGGCGAGGTAGCTCTTTATGAATGGTAGCAGGACGTCTGATGTCGCGCAGGCTTCTTACGAGGCTCCATCCACGAGCCCTAATCCCCGCTCTAACGCCAAATTTAGGCTGATGGGACTGTATATCCGTCCTCCTTCCCCTACGCTCTCAGAAATGAGTGTAGGTAGAGAAAAAACAAAAAGTACTGTTAGTTTACCGTAGTGATTTGAAACACACAATTAGAAGTCGCTTTTGTACCCACTGTCAAGTTTGTGGTCATATTAGGCCGCTTTGCTTATGCCTTGCACACAAAGCGACCCTATTCCTGGGCATCAACATATTTCTTGCTTTGTCTTTGTGAAGGTCAGGGTAGGTTGCTGACATATAATAATCTTTATCATCCTGTTGTTTTGAGGAACATGCGCCCTAAGGTGGTTTTGGACGTCAAGTATTAACTATAATGCCAGAAATATGTTATATGATTTTGGCCATTTCCAACTTTTAAAGGCCAGATTTGGTCACTGACCTGATATGAACACCGATAACCTTTTGCTTAGAAACAATTCTTCGGCCAAAACTGGTTGCGTGAGGAAGTCTTAAGGCGCTTTCGGCACCGATTTCGAGTGCAAATTTGCTACCTTATTTGAGCCGAGTGTCTCAAGTTAGGAATTCAGAAATCTGACGCAAATGAGCTCGCCCAGACCCCTACCTGCCACGTCGGTTTGGTGTCCCTAGATTTCTTAGCTTTTGGAATACCCGCGGCCGGATTACCCCCCCGCTCACCCCACCACAAACGCCAACCCCACCTGCACCCAGGCGCGCTGCACTCGGCCGGCCACGCGGCTGCGTGTCAAATAGGACAAAAGCTGCGGCACACTCCAGTGTTGCATTTCGTATCCTTTTTTCCCCCAGGTATCTATTTACGGTGTGATAATTCTGCAAAGTTTCGGCCTTAACATGGGCCCAAATGGAGGGCGAGCACCACTTAGTGGCTCTTTCATTATGCCGGCGCCGAAAACGACTCGCCCGGGGACTCTCGGGAAGCACGCCAATATCACTGTTTGTTATGGGATAACAATAGAACATTGTAACATCTGTTTGTTATGGGATAACAATAGAACATTGTAACATCTGGACCATGGATTACAAGGAATTATCATGCCGTCTGGCATGTGTGGTAAAATCTAGGCCGTCATGTAAAATGAGTATGATTCTACTCATACTTTGTGTGCCTTAGGTGTATATAAGTAATGCGAGAAAGAGACGTCGACGAGAGTTATTAACCTGTAAGGAACTTGTGCTGCACAATTAGCGTCCACAGGTTAAAGGGATGCGCTGTCCGGTCTTACCTACGGTAAGACCGGAATAAGTAGGCAAGTAAGTAAGTTGGTAAGTAGGTAAGCCTGACCAGTCATGCGCTGGAGTGTGTATTACCAGCAGCCACAACCAAAATCAGCCCACACCAATGATCCTATTGTCACTTTAAAATGTTTCCAGTATGCCATCGAGCAAGACTGTAGGAATGTACACCAACAATAGAGTGTACTTAATCATGCTAGAATGTATTGTTTTCTACGCGCAAAATGTACGTAGATTAAGACGATATACGAGACGCACCAACAACACAACACTTAATATGCGATCTCCTAACGGAGGTACTTCGCGATATTGGGGCGTATTGGCAGGGGATGCTTGGAAAGGCATTGGAAACGTGTGCGCCGTAACTATAATGGAACTTGTAATGGAGCTTACTCAAACTGGTCTTTTGCATTGGCGGAGCAACAATACATGAGGTGGATACCCACCCGCCCCGGCACTGAGGCTGCAGGTCACACTTTGTGAACCGTGTCCTTAAAAGGGACCGCTCTAGCGCGGACAGCAGCAATTTCCTCCAGATGCATCAGCGCTGTGTACGCTTCCTATCATGTGGCGCCGATCAATGGGACTGAAGGTTACGACGTGCTACAAAATAGCGCGCAAGCTGGTAAAACGACAGCATACTCAGGCACTGTTGCTGAGAGAGCTCTTTGTCTCACACGCCACACGCTGAGGAGGCGTGCAGCAAGTTCCAGCTCGGACTGGGTGTTATGAGCTCGGTTCTGCGCAGTCCGTTCATTGTGATGGCCTTCCGCTCATGCGTGAAGCTTTTCCGTAGTATTCAATTGACTTGTGCTTGCTTCGGGGCGCTGAAAAGGCTCTGCGTAGCACTGGAGTAGGCCACACATTTCGCAAATTCGTCCTGTCGACGATTTGTGTACGCATGCGGCATTTTTTCGTTTTTAAAGCTTGCCTGCGGCATGGGTGTGTTCAGAAAAGCGGGTTTAACTTTTTTCAAAATAACTGCGGTGGACCTCACGGGTTAGTTAATTCCATACGCGCAACGCCATTGTGAGCATTTGCGAGTTAAAATGACATTAAATGAAAATAAATTTGGTCCATTAGCAAAAAAATCACCCGCATGTCTGCGTAGGGGCTGTTCCAAGGTTGACAAAAGTTTGCCGATTCAAAGTTGTACGTGACGGTTTTTTATTTGTTTAAGGTGTGTCGTCGTGTGTCATTTCTTGCCGCAGACGTACCGTAATATTCTGCAATATTGGGCTGCGGCGTATCTCCGGTGTGGTGGAATCCATGAGTGGCAAACATTGCAGCACCGTGACAAACAGGAGCTTTCTCCACTCGTTTTTCTTCTCTACACACTGCATTTTCCAGGCTAAGGATGCTCTGTCAGACTAATAAAGTGGCGCTTTCTCTATGCACACGCTATCTCTACGCACTGTGTGGGCGGCGACCAAGCCCATTCTCTCGGAGGAGGCTTGCAAAGAGCATTCGATGACTGATTGAGCCACCGCGAGTGACCGATCGCGCCAAAGGCCCGAGAGATGTCCGTGCGTGTTCTGGAATATGGTTTTGTAAGATTAGCTCGGGCCGATGAACCTTGGCTCCACAGCGCTGTGGTCGTATGTGCTGTTGCATTGCAGGTGGTTGTACGTCAACCTCCGTCCACGTGTTGCTAGTTTACAACGTAGAGCAGGACACATCGCCGGCGGCGTAACGGCAAGGTGCTGGAATGTCCTTGGTTGGCGCGGATCTAAATAAATAATACGACCATGAAACTATTCGCGTTCCATTGAGCTTCGTATAACACCGGCCGCCTGTTGGGAATATGGTAAGGAGACTCACTAAAATGCAGGACTTCTTCTGGAACAGTTTAGAGGCTTAAGTGGAAAGGAGTGCGGGATTTTTTCTGGAACGGTTTAGAGGCTGAAGTGGAGAGCTGAAGAAGGGCCCCGTCCAGCAAAAACATTGTGCTAAAGCTTTGCAACATTAGACATATTTCAGGGGTATTAAGGCACTAGCCTTATACTAAGTTTGGAAAGCTGACGTTCATGGGGCCCATTGGTGTAAAGCATATATGTGTACATTATATATATATATATATATATATATATATATATATATATATACGTGAGCGCTTGCGTGCATGCGTGCGTGCATGCGTGCGTGCGAGCGAGTGCACCTGAGCGCGCGCGTACGTGCGTGCGTGCGTGCGTGTTTTCATCGGAGGGAACCGCAACTGCCCTTTTTATTGCCACTTGGGATACGAAGCAAGCTTTTGCCGAAATTCTACCTTGTCAAACTGTGCTGACTCTCGCCAGCACCGGCAATGAGGAAACTTTTCTCCGGTGTTATGGAAGTAAGACCCAAACCGTTGCACACATCGCAAGGAAACTAGGACGAGTAGCTTCAACATTTTCATATGACTGTCCAGTTTAAATTCCAGCCGTCCAGGCTGACGACCTCTGACACATGCAACATCCTCAACAACCTGAATCGACGTCAAAGCAGTGTTTCAACGCAGGCGTCTTCTTAAAGATTTGCGTTGTCTTTGGATGCGTGGGATAATGTTGCAATCAGGCATGGCTTCAAGTAAGAAAATGTCTTTCATCGTTTGTAAGTGATGGCAGTTCCACACATGAAAGCATATTCCACGGTCTATTTTGAAAAAATATGCTAAAGCACGTGACTTCCACACCAGGAAATCCACATACGCGAATAACCACGTGGGCATTTGTGCAATGCATGCGTCTGGAGATCAAATACAAATACAAATGGCCTCATTTCAAGTTGTGCACTGCGCAGGCGCGGAATATTGACGCCCCGCGACGCATTTCAAGGTGTGCACTGCGCAGGCGCGGAATATTGACGCCCCGCGACGCATTTCAAGGTGTGCACTGCGCAGGCGCGGAATATTGACGCCCCGCGACGCATTTCAAGGTGTGCACTGCGCAGGCGCGGAATATTGACGCCCCGCGACGCATTTCAAGGTGTGCACTGCGCAGGCGCGGAATATTGACGCCCCGCGACGCATTTCAAGGTGTGCACTGCGCAGGCGCGGAATATTGACGCCCCGCGACGCATTTCAAGGTGTGCACTGCGCAGGCGCGGAATATTGACGCCCCGCGACGCATTTCAAGGTGTGCACTGCGCAGGCGCGGAATATTGACGCCCCGCGACGCATTTCAAGGTGTGCACTGCGCAGGCGCGGAATATTGACGCCCCGCGACGCATTTCAAGGTGTGCACTGCGCAGGCGCGGAATATTGACGCCCCGCGACGCATTTCAAGCCCCGTGCGCAAGCCCCGTTTTGGTCCGTCGGTTCTCAACGAATGAGATAGCTAGATCATGCATGTCATTATTGATCGTAAGTGACCTTTGGGCAAAATGGCCAAAGTAGACGGCGCGTTCTTTAATACAGCTCATGAAAGCAATCAGCTATGGCCTTTGTCGAATGCAGTACACATCAGGTTGATTTTGGAAAAGAATGTAAGCTCATTCCTGCAGTTGGTTCCAAAAAATCAGCCTCCAGACACGTCATATTACCAGTTTAAGTGTATCTTCTAAGTGTAAATCTAAGTCTTTTTTGCATTACCGCAACATTTTGAGTTCATGGGATAGCAGAAGGGACCTATGAAGTGTTAACTTGATACTATGACTTGATTTAATGTATCAAAGATTGCATTCACAATTGTCCAGTCACACCTGTCCGATACAGATCGACAAAAGGGCTTCATTTCCGTCTTCCTCCAGGCTCTAGTTGCTTAGTTTTGCAAGATCGTAAGGGGTCGCTGAGCTATCCTCACCTCTCGAACGGCGAAAGTGGAAAACTCCCGTAAGGTATGAGACAGGTCGGAAGTGGATATTCGCTAAATCATCACAAGCATCACAATTTAAAGCCCTCTTTCCAGGGCTGACTGCACGACGTGTCCGTGTCCGGCAGGGCCAGCTGGCCTCCTACGCGGCGAGGACTGTGTCCATAGAGGGCGACCGCGGCCGCCTGGACCTGGACCGGCGCACCTGGGCCCTGCTGATCGCTCCGGCCCGGGCCGCCGACAGCGGCGCATACAGCTGCTCGTTCAACGACCAGCCCTCCGACCACAGGATCGTCAAGCTGGAGGTGCAGGGTGAGATAGCCACCGGCCAGCGCGGTCCTGATCGGCTACGTCATGCTGGTCGTCTCCTCAGCTGCTGCTTAACAGGGGTCCTCGCGTGGCGCCCTGGCTCTTGCGCTGCGCATATTCCGCGATTTGCAACTGGCTTACCCGCGCTTCCCCGCGACCGGTTCGCAAGCACGCGTAAGCCTGCTCTCGGACGAGCGTCGGAGTGGTTTGCCGGGGCGGCCTTTTAAATAATAGCTCTTGCCAGCCGGCGTCATCTATCCACGGCGGTCGGGCCCGTGCCGGCGGCCGCGCCGCCAGCATGGACTGGCCACCGCGGCTCGCGTGGTCTCGCTCCGCCACTCAGGCCGCCGCCAGCCGTTGCACCCGCGCCGATCGATTACATTTACAGCAGCGGGATTTATGAAACGCAGGCTGCCGATTTACGGCCGGTGCGTCCGCTCGGCCGAGACGGCGACTCCAGCGGCCTCCGCACCGCCGTAATCAGCCATTAATTTTTCACCTAATCAGATGCCGGTCGGCCGGGGCCGCCGCGCGAGGGGCGCCCATTACCGGCCTGCTATCTGAGCCGGCGGCGAGCCCGTGTCAGCGGTTAGCACCGCAGGGGATGATGCAGTGATCCGTTTTCGTTCCGGTCGAACGTGGCTGGCGGCGGCGGCGCGCGGCGTCAGCAGTGACAAATACGTTAGCGGCATGCACCTATTCAGAACCGAAGGGTGGGGATGAAGGCTGTCGCCGTGCTCCCCCCCCCCCCCCTCCCCCCGCACCACAAGCGCCTTGGTGACCTCGCCGCCACTCGTGCATGACTGATATCACTGACGCTGCTGAGCGTACGTCACCGCTGACGTCACTGATGCCGCTGGAACTCATCGGCGCCGCCGGCAACGCTGACGCTGCTAGGCACGTTGGCAGTGACAACATCACAGACTGCTGCGGTACCACGACACCACCGACAGCACTGATGACGTCGGTAGTACTGGCGCCACTGGTACCAATGATACAGCCGGCAACACTGTTATTGGCAGTAGCACTGGCGCATCTGATGCCACAGGTGCCGCCAGCACCACTGATAATGTCAGAATGACCGACACTACCAGTTCTACTGGCAACCCTTGAACCCCTGAGATCACCGAAACCACTGGCACTACCAAAACACTAATACCGACAAAACCACTGCCACCACTGAAACCATGGACAACTGAAACCGCTGACACCGCCGAAACCACTGACACTACCAAGGATACTCACGCCACCGAAACCACTGATACTACGGAGACCACTGACACTGCTGAAACTACTGGCACCGCCGAAACCACCGGTACTATCGAAACCGCTGATACTACTGATACCACTCACACTACTAAAACCACTCGCACCACTTACACTACCAAAACCACACACACTACCGAGACCACCCACATTACCGAAACCATCTACACTACCGAAACCACTCACACTGCCGAAGCCACTCACGCTAACGAAGCCACTCACAATTATCGAAACCACTCACACGACCAAAGCCACACACTACCGAAACCACTCACACTACCGAAACCACTCACACCACCGAAGCCACTCACACTACCGAAGCGACCCACATTACCGAAACCACTCACACTACCGAAGAGACTCACAATACCGAAACCACTCACACTACCGAAACCACTCACACTACCGAAGTCACTGCGCGGCCGGCAGCACTGTGCGGCAGCCGACACAGCCTTCTCCGAACCTGACGCTACGCCACTTGGGCGAGGCCATCCCTATCCATACAGATTGCATGACGCAGCTTGAAATGACACTGAAACCAATTGAGCTCCAGCTAGATAACATTATTCAAGTTTATACCCGTTCGGTGCTGATTTAGAATTGCTCGATGTGATGCGTTGAAAAATGCTCCCATTTGCCTGCGATATTGATTTTCTGCCCAGTCCGCGTGCTCCATGGGACGTTACGCCCACATAAACTGCCTAATACGCGTATGGCGCTTTACTCCACAGACATAATTGTATATTTGTGCACGTCCGACCAGGCAGTGCTGGGGTATTGATTCGATTTTTAAACTCGGCACTAACTTGTACCTACGGTACTATTTCGCAGCGTTGGATTCTAATCCACGGATCACTCAGCGAGATCATGTCATGATAGTGTAATACGTAGGTCTTTAGATCACACTGCGGCCTGTCGGTGTCTTGCAGCCTAGGTCAAACCGTGAGCACGGTTTCACGAGGCCGCCTGTGGATCTCCTGTTCAACACGAGACCGAGGGTGACACCTCTGCTTTAGTGACAGCAGTGAGATCTTGCACATGGACACACCTTTAGGTCATCTGATCTCCTCTTGCATTTTGGTAGTCAGGGACAAGACATGTTTGATGCCGCTAGATATGCCACGATTAATTTTATCGAAGCGGAAGTAAATGATTCCGCTGATTGCCCATTGTCGGGCTTTCCTCTCTGCGGCAGAGCGCCGTAAGAAAACCAGCCTAACAAAGCTCAAAAAGTGTTTTGTAAAGCAGGGCTGGTGTGTGGATCAAATCCGTTTGTCTGCAGGTGATGGATGCATCCTTTTTAAGATTTGCTATTAACCCTTTTGAATGAATACGTTTCTGGTGGAAAAGCTCGCGCTAAGCAGCGCTTGTTGTGTGAGCCGTGACCTCTATCATCCGATCGTGCCGCACCGCGTCAAAGATGGAATTCGGTGGCGAAAGTTCGACGTGCTGCAATGCTCGGCACAGGCCGTCCTGCTCTTTGACGTCACCTGACCTGTAGCGCGGCCGCTACCACCGGCCGCAGGCCATACCTTTTCAAAGGCAAGTAGCCAGCGCCTGAAGTGAATCGCACCACTGTTGGGTGGATCGGAAGTGTCTGAATCATCGGTGTCTGATCGGTGTCTGAATCAAGTGAAATGTGAAGACGGGCAAGTGGATCCTGGTGGACGGACGAGAAGGCGTATGAATAAATATTGAGTTATTTGTGAATGACGCAGGGCAGCCAACCCTCACCGAGCCGTTCGAAAAGCTGGGATGCCTGCAGCCTACTCTTTCTCCGACCACTTCCCACGGATAGATGGTATGCCGAAGTAGAGCACGGACCAGTCTTCAGTTCTTGCCGGCAGGAACTGTTCTCCTGCTGGACTTGAGAAGTTCTTAGTGTGAAGCAGGGACCGGGTTGTGACGTTGGCCTCCTTACGATGCAGGCATGGAGCCTTTCTCTGTTGCTTTATGCCCATCCGATAGCAAGTACTCTGCCAGCGGTCAGTTTTGATGGTTTTTGATAGAGCGTCACTTGGCTGAGTGAGCTTCGCAGCTTTACTGCCGGCGGCCAATCGACCCCCAGCATGACATCATCATGACTGTCACCTGGGCGACGTTCCGCGGTTTAACGCGCGGACGCCCGCCGTGCGCCCTACGAACCATACTGCTGACGTTTATAAGTATGTGCCGCGTTTGCAGCTGGAGTTACAGGTCCAGCTGTCAACTGGAATGAGGCGTCGCTCTTGACTTGTGTTGACCGGTTTGCGGTGCTGCTCTGACCGTTCCGTGACCTGACCCGACTTGACCTGGACCTGACCTGGCTGAGCGAGTCGCGCCAGCTGCTGTATGTGACTCTGGGATTGAGGTGTGCTGCTCCGCAGGCGTTCCCAGTCCGCCAGGCCGGCCGATGGTCATCAAGCACACGTCGCGGCACATCGACCTCAGCTGGGCGCCCAGTCTGCAGACAAACAACAGCCCCATCAAACACTACGTCATACAAACCAGGTGAATGGCGACGCCGCCCGACGGTCGACGCCAGACCTCGCCTCGGTCGGCGTGGATTTCCAGCCATTTTCGAGTTTGGTGGAGCTATGTGACACGGGGAAATCGCTGGACACGGGTCATGATGCGCTGGCTGGACCTCCCGGAATTCAAATACCACAGCCGGCCGGGGTGAAGCTCTATTCAGGATGGGCGAGGGGTTTAGGCTGCAAAACAGACCTTCCGTGGGGAGATACACTCGCATGGCTGCAGAAGTCTTGTGAGAAACACAGGGTTGGTGGCGTTTTTCACTACTGCAGCGTTTGACGTAAACGTGACAACGGCCAGATATGGTGACTGGATGATATTGAACACATCGTCGTTACAAACAAGAAAGCGCTAAGCTCCTGCATACCGTCATTATACATAAGAAAGCGCTAAGTTCCTGCATATCGTCGTCATAAATAACAAAGCTTTAAGCTCTTGTTTTCGACACTATTAGTGTGCTAGAACAGTCATTGCGTATACCAAGCGGTACTGACTCAGACGTACCTATGGCACCCAGCGGGTCTACGACCCTTGTTAGAACCGATGAGTGTTTTTATAACTTATCCAAATAATTGCTTCGTAGGTTAGTTTAACCGGTGTCTTCCGGTACGTTGGAGGTTTGATATTCTCAGGAAACTGAACTTTATTGTTTTAGCATAGATTGCACCATCTAATTAGTTTGATGCACCATAAGTACAGCTAGGCAGAACTTCCGTTATACCACATATTAAATGCCTTTAGCTGCGTGAAGTTTTAAAAGTTGATATTTCTCAACTGGACTTAGTTCTTACCAAGAATTTCTTTCCGAAAGGATCGTGTGAAATTTTATGAACCCAGCCGGATGCGGGTAAGCCTGGCAACTTCAGCCGCATGTGAGTAAGCCAGTCCATCAAACAGAAATAAAACGTGTGAACACTGCTCACACGAGGTCTCGGCAGATAATCCCTATCTGTATGGAGAGCGAGTTACGGCTTCTTGGCCGGTCAGTATATGACGTCCCGGTCGACCGATGACCCAGCGGGCCGGCGCCACAGCAGTCCGGTGTGACCATGCAGCTCGACAGGACGAGCCGGAGCAGCGGGCCGGCGCCACAGCAGTCCAGTGTGACCATGCAGCTCGACAGGACGAGCCGGAGCAGCGGGCCGGTGGCACAGCAGTCCTGTGTGACCATGCAGCTCGGCAGGACGAGCCGGAGCAGCGGGCCGGTGGCACAGCAGTCCTGTGTGACCATGCAGCTCGACAGGACGAGCCGGAGCAGCGGGCCGGTGGCACAGCAGTCCGGTGTGACCATGCAGCTCGACAGGACGAGCCGGAGCAGCGGGCCGGTGGCACAGCAGTCCGGTGTGACCATGCAGCTCGACAGGACGAGCCGGAGCAGCGGGCCGGTGGCACAGCAGTCCGGTGTGACCATGCAGCTCGGCAGGACGAGCCGGAGCAGCGGGCCGGTGGCACAGCAGTCCGGTGTGACCATGCAGCTCGGCAGGACGAGCCGGAGCAGCGGGCCGGTGGCACAGCAGTCCGGTGTGACCATGCAGCTCGGCAGGACGAGCCGGAGCAGCGGGCCGGTGGCACAGCAGTCCAGTGTGACCATGCAGCCCGGCAGGACGAGCCGGAGCAGCGTGCCGGTGGCACAGCAGTCCGGTGTGACCATGCAGCCCGGCAGGACGAGCCGGAGCAGCGGGCCGGTGGCACAGCAGTCCGGTGTGACCATGCAGCCCGGCAGGGCGAGCCGGAGCAGCGGGCCGGTGGCACAGCAGTCCGATGTGACCATGTAGCCCGGCAGGACGAGCCGGAGCAGCGGGCCGGCGCCACAGCAGTCCGGTGTGGCCATGCAGCTCGGCAGGACGAGCCGGAGCAACGGGCTGATGACACAGCAGCCCGGTGTGGCCATGCAGCTCAGCAGGAAGAGCCGGAGCAGCGGGCCGGTGGCACAGCAGTCCTGTGCGACCATGCAGCCCGGCAGGACGAGCCGGAGCAGCCGGCCGGCGCCACAGCAGCCCGGTGTGGCCATGCAGCTCGACAGGACGAGCCGGAGCAGCGGGCCGGCGCCACAGCAGTCCGGTGTGACCATGCAGCTCGGCAGGACGAGCCGGAGCAGCGGGCCGGTGGCACAGCAGTCCTGTGCGACCATGCAGCTCGGCAGGACGAGCCGGAGCAGCGGGCCGGTGGCACAGCAGTCCTGTGTGACCATGCAGCTCGACAGGACGAGCCGGAGCAGCGGGCCGGCGCCACAGCAGTCCGGTGTGGCCATGCAGCTCGGCAGGACGAGCCGGAGCAACGGGCTGATGACACAGCAGCCCGGTGTGGCCATGCAGCTCAGCAGGAAGAGCCGGAGCAGCGGGCCGGTGGCACAGCAGTCCTGTGCGACCATGCAGCCCGGCAGGACGAGCCGGAGCAGCCGGCCGGCGCCACAGCAGCCCGGTGTGGCCATGCAGCTCGACAGGACGAGCCGGAGCAGCGGGCCGGCGCCACAGCAGTCCGGTGTGACCATGCAGCTCGGCAGGACGAGCCGGAGCAGCGGGCCGGTGGCACAGCAGTCCTGTGCGACCATGCAGCCCGGCAGGACGAGCCGGAGCAGCAGGCCGGCGCCACAGCAGCCCGGTGTGGCCACACAGCTCGGCAGGACGAGCCGGAGCGCTTTACGGCCGCGCCCCGCCGCTGTGTATGCGGCGCTTGCCGCTCGTGACGTGTGGCCTTCATATTTCAACGAAATTTCAGAACAAACACCGCCTATGTGGCCCAGGAGTGTCGTACCGCCGCACATAGCGCTCAGCTGCCGTTGCTCTGCAAAACAATGGCACGCGCTCGAGCTCTGGTGGGCATGGTCCTCAACGCGGGAGGAACAGCCCTGTGATCACTAATTTGGATGGAAAATGAGGAGATGATGTCCAGATAATCAGCCTCGTCGGCTTCATTTGAAACGCGCTCCCGCCGTGAACAGCATGGCTTTGATTGATCAGAGTCAGAAGCAGACAGTAGCTGCCAGTGACGAGTGCTACCAACGGCTGCTGCTGAGTTTTCAATATGAGATACGTCGCTGGCACTGACTCAGCTTTAATGCTGTTCGATCTTTGGCAATGATCCTCGGGTCTTTGTCGGCGATTGCATCGCGGATTTATTTAGCCGGCCTCGTTTCGCAAATGTCCTTTATTTGCTCTGCATCAGTTTCTCGGACACTGAATGGGGCCGTTTCCGCAACTTCATGAAAAGGGGCCTCTTATTGTGGAGCTGGAGCTCGAGAAATATTGGACGGCCGAGATTTAGGGCTGTGCCGTGTATCTTGGGCTGGGGCGCGTCAGCTCCAGCTGGCCATAAGCGGTCGGTGGGTGTGTCCGCTTCACTCCGATAAACCGGCTCGTCCCTCTCGCAACAGGAGACCGCATAGTTTTCCATAACGATGACGCTCTGAAAAATTTAGTGTCGCCTGCTAGCGATTTAGAAGATTGCCCGAACCGGATTTGGTAAACAGGCCGATAAAATCAGCTCAGCATCGCTGATTTTCGTAATAACGCACGATTTCACAGCGGGAGAGAAACGCGGTGTAGTATTACGCTTCCTAACTGTCTGTAGCCAGGCGGCTGTGACAGTCAGTGCGCTAAACGCCTGTCAGTCAGGTCAGATGAAACGTCAGACACAGCGTGCCGATCGGTTGGGCTCCGGCTCCTTACTGTCGTGTTTGCGGTCGCCTGTTTGTTAGCTCGCTGATTATGATGCCCGCCGGTGGTGATGCGCTGGTCCGCCCCCTCCCCCCTCCCCCTTGGTGGCCGGGTCGATACGTGATGCGGGCCGCTGGACGTCTCTCATAACGCAGTAAATAATGTCGATGATCCTTGATGGCCCCATAACGAGTCACTTGAAAGCCATTTGACCTCCTGGGGCTGCAGCGCATTGGCTTTACGTGACGTCACTGGGTCAATTATTTATTCGCTGCCCCCATGAATCAACGGCTTGGATGCATCCACAGAGAATGGACCGACGAGTACCACATCACTCTCTTGTTGACCTCAGAGATCACATTTCATCTTGCCGATGTTCTAAGAGGGAAGGATTTTTGCGGCCCGTCTGACTCTCGGATAAAAATGGTCTGCTGGTCTGCCCGTCAGGAGAAGCCCGCTCTCCCCGGTGTGTTGTTTGGCTTCGCGAAGAAATGAGGCGCGGGAGATACATTTGAGGTCACGCCCATCCAGGCGGCGCAGACGACGCATTTGCCGCGCGCGCCGCCATCGCTTCGTCTAGAATAACACGCCAGATAAGCCATTGACAATGCATCATTTTTCCTTTTCTGCGGTAGAAATGATAGTCCCTTATGCTGAGGTGGCGCGATAGTATTCGCCGTGCCCGCAAACATCCTCCGGATGGCTGGTGGCGTGTTGTGAACATTCCAGACGATGTATTCATCTGGGGGGGGGGGGGGGGGGATCATGATCTGGGAGGCAGCTGCCCGCGCGCGAGGCGATATGACAACGATAGATGAAGCGTTTTCGGATGAATATTCCTAAAAGCTGCTCCCTGGTATGACAGATAAGCATGCTCGGAGCGGCCCGACAGGCCGGCCGTCTTATCTAGCTCCTCTCCAGACTGCTGAGGCCAGCTGTCCGTCGTTTTGCGCCGTTTGAGACAAAGTGCGCGTTCCATCACGGCTGGACGGCGCCCGCGTAGTGCCCGCAGCTTCAGCGACGCGCGGGGGAGGAGGGTTATATGTCCATAGTTTGCGTCTGAACTGTCTGGTGTCCCCCAGCTCAAAGAAATGCCTCGTCATTTTCACCGTCATCTTTGGTGTTTATGACTGTCATTTGTTCATAGCCGTGTGAAGCCTTCTCGCCACCGTGTTATTGATTGATCAAGCAGGCACAAATGAGTGTACACGTGCGCGACATGGTTCGACGTGGCGTGACACATAATTTTTGTGGTGCAACAACCAGCGAACAGTCAGAAAGGGCCGAACGGCAACTGCCTTTTGTTGCACCACCATGAGT